CCGATGGCGGTGAGCCGAGGGGCGGCGCTGCAGATGGACAAAGCCAACGGCAGACAGACAGACGGAGGGGGAAAAGATGGCGACGCGGGCGGCGGGAGCGCGCTGCTCGCGCACCCGCAGCCAGTGAGGCGCGTGCACGAGCCTCTCCTCTCCCCCTCCCTCCTCCTCCCGCCGGGTGCCCCTCTCCCCGCCGCCCGGCGCGCGCCCGGTGCCGTGGGCGGGGCTTGAGGAGCCGGGGGTCCCGGGAGGCAGGGCCTAAGGGAGCGTCCAATCCCGGACGTTCGAGAGGGGCCTCGCGTCCATCCTCCGCCGCGGAGACCCCCGGCCTCGCACCCCCTCCGGCCTTCTGTGGGCTCTTCGGCGCCTCAGCGCCGCTAACCCCTCCTGGACGTGTCAACTCCCCCTGACTGTCAGCCCTCATCCTGGTTTCCTACCCTACTTTCAAGTTCAGCCACAGAACCCACATCCCCCAACCACAGCTCCGCCGCAGGCTCCCCCTCTCCGCAGCCCAGCCTTAGCCACCCCCGACCGAAACCCTCTTCCCTTCATTTCCCCCAATTTCACGGTTTCTTCAGCTCCCAAGGGCCTTTGTGGAAGGGGCTAAGAACCTCCAAGGAGAAAAGTCTTTTTTTTTTTTTGACATTAAAGTCTCCAATGTGATTCTCAAATAATAGTAGCTTGTAGACTAGGGGCGTAGGATTAATTTAGAGCAGGGTAACTTTTGGCACTGTTGCCACTTAAGGGACATTTGGGACAATTGAGTGGTTAGACTCACCTAATAAAACACCTGTCACCGTCCCCCTCTGGTTCCTCACTACCTTCCCTTCCTTCTCATTCTTTTTTCTCGTAGAATTCCCGAGGCTGCCTCTAACATAGCTCACTTGGAGAGGCTGGGAATGCGGTGGGAAGAAGGTGGATCTGGTATCAGAAGATCCAGCTGTGAGTCCCACCCACCTCTGTCACTCACGAACCTGGTGACTTTGGTCAAGTCACTTCCCTATTCTGAATGTCTGCTTCCTGAAATGTAAAATGGATAATAACGTAATAATCCCTGGTCTCTACTCTCATAGGTTGTTGTGTTGAGTAATAGGAACATATGAAAAGTATTCTGCAAATAAGCCTTATGATTACTGATCCCACAAAGACAGAGCTAATGAGGATGCTGAACCTTGCTTGTAAGCAACAAGTCCTGGTATTTGCATAAAGCGCTCCTGCAAAATGTCCTCGTAAATCTCCAATGAGATATCGTCTGTATCTTGTGTTTAATGTGAGAGAATGTTAAAGGACCTAGGTCCTTCACAATTCTGGGGTAAAAGGCTTCATTCATTCATTCATTCATTCATTCATTCATTCATTCATTCATTCATTGTGGCTGAGATATTTAGGTAGGAATTATTATTCTTTAACTTTCGTTAAGGAAACATTTTAATTTAATTTAAATTTTAATTCCTAGGAAGCCAAAAAAAGAATATTCGCATCCAACCAGAAAGTTTTTAGATAGTTTCATTAAGAATGCAAGCTGGAATAAAACATTGGCTTTTATATTTAACAGTAATTCTTGGTGAGTTTAGACCAAGGAATTAAAATATGGCTTTATTACATCACTTTATAAAGTTGGCATGGTTGATATTTTCAACATGAAAATAGCTAACAGGTAAAGCATTAGGAGAGAGCCCCCAATGAAATTTCTTGGCTTCATAAAGTTACTGTGTAAAGCTGGGCAGCTTGTTCCATCTCCTTGAGCTGCAAATAAAATGGGATCATAATAATGCAATTTTTATAAACTTTCTGTGCTTTAGAAATGCCTCAGGTGTTGTGATTCAGGATTATAATGAAATAAGGGAAAATTATAAACTAAGGAATTAGTTTATTTTTCCTCTGCTCTCCATCCAAACTTGTTCTGTATCTAAAACTTTTTCATTAACCATGAAATTTTATCACCTTCATTTTTTATTTCTACTTTCCCAACCTACTACTGTAGTTACGCTATTATTTTGCCAATTTAACTATATTAACTTTCCCTTTACATATCTTCCTAATCTGTTTTATATTTATTGGCTCCTACAATGACCTTGTACCACATTTTACTTCCGTCCATCAATTGATGGATATTTGTGTTGTTTCCACTTTCTGGCTATTCTGAATAATGTTGCTATGAACATTTGTGTATAATTTTCACGTGAACCTATGTTTTCAATTCTCTCAGGAGTGGAATTTTTGGATCATATGGCAAGTCCATGTTTAACTTAAGGAATTACCAAACTGTTTCCCAAAGTGCCTGCATCATTTTATATACCTACCGGCAATATATGAGGAATCCAATTTCTCCATATCCTGGGCTACACTTGTTATTGTTTGTCTTTTTCACTATAGCCATCATAGCGGGTGTGAAGTTATACCTCACTTAGTTTTGGTTTGCATTTCCCAGGTACCTAATGATGTTGAACATCTCACGTGCTTTTTATTGACCTTTTGGAGAATGTCTATACAAAGTCTATGCCCATTTTAAAACTGAGTTGTCTTTTTATCGTTGTCTGGTAAGAGTTGTTTTTTTAAATATTCGGGATACTAGATCCTTATAGGATGTTTGCAAAAATTTTCTTCCATTCTGTAGGCTCTTTTTTTAAAAATTGATTTTAGAGAGGAAGGGAGAGGGAGGGAGGAGGAGGAGAGAGAGAGAAAGGGAACGAGGGGGGGAGAGAGAGGGAGGGAAGGACGGGGGGGAAGAGAGAGAG